TTTAATATCTAATTTTTGCAAAAGAAAAAAAATGGAGATCTTTGAGCAGGATTCAGCCATTTGCTTCCACAGCATATACTGAGCAAATGGACAGTGAAAAGTGCCAAGCAGAGGTTTTTGGGGAGATGCTTTAGTGCTCGGAGAAGCTAAAAACCTGCCATAATCTGAAACTAATGTCATCCCATACAACATTTTCAAAAAATGTCACTGGTGAACCAACATTTACAGTAGTGCTAAGACAATGTCAGCGGCACATAGCCGTCAGAGCTAAAACTAGCTAAAAATGCAGGATAACATCCATGTAGTGGATCTGTTGTAGATACACTAATCATCACCAATACCAGCTTTTCATTAAATATCATATTCCTTTTGTACTCAACATGAACTAACATAATGGTTTTGCTAGTCTCAAACTCAATTAGTGAAGAAAGTGCTAATTGCAAACTCTGTCTGTTCCCTATTGTGCAACATTTGTATGTCCTGACTCAGTTTAACGATATTAAAAATATAAGGTCTTTGTTTCTGAAGTCTGCTGAATGAGTGCTGATCTGATCTGGCTGTGCTAAAATATACATGGCAGGAAGATAAGAGAGCTGTGGAACAGCCAGCGATTTGAGATCAGAAAGCTTGGCTGGAGAAGAGACAGTCTGGATCAGTTTCCCTCACACCAGCTGATCACAGATCAGAACTAATGAGCGCCTCGTGATTTATTAACCACTTTCTGCTTCAAAAAGACAAAGAGAGGGAAAAAAGGGGGAAAGAAACTGATGAAAAAAGCGAGCAATTCCAATACATTTTACTACAGTAATCCTTCATATACTGTATATAAGCCTTACAGCTTTCCCAAAGAAAATATATTGCCTTATACTCTAAAAAATGCTGGGTTAAATACAACACAGCGCTGGGTGAAATATGGACAAACCCAGCGATTGGGTTGTTTTCAACCAACAGTTGTGTTAAATGTTTAACCCAACCTTCTGGGCAGTAACCCAACTGCTGGGTCAAAACAACCCAATCGCTGGGTTTGTCCATATTTTACCCAGCACTGGGTTGTATTTAACCCAGCATTTTTTAGAGTGTATATATTAATGATCAATATATCAAATTATTCAATGCATATTGAAAATATACAGAATAACATATTGTGCTAATATATTTACAACATATTTATGGAAGCCCATTTCCGCCACGTAAGAAAAAAATTAATGCCTTAAAAAGTAAAAATTATGACATACTTAAGTCATAATTACGAGATAAAAAGTCGAAATTATGACTTACTAAGTCGAAATTATGACTTTAAAAGTCATAATTACGAGATAAAAAGTCGAAATGATGACTTACTAAATCGAAATTATGAGCTAAAAATTCAAAATTATGACAAGTCATAATTATGACTTCAAAAGTCGAAATTATGACTTCAAAAGTCGAAATTATGACTTCAAAAGTTGAAATTATGACTTTACAAGTCGAAAATTGACTTAATGACTTTATAAACACATTTGACTTAAGTCATAATTACGAGATACAAAGTCGGAATTATGACTTTAGATAGTCGAAATTATGAGATAAATCGAAATTATGACTTTACAAGTCGAAATTGACTTAATGACTTTATAAACACATTGGTCACAGGATAGTGGTCTATAATGATAAACGGGACATTCTGAAACGCGTTAATTTGGCAGTTTGGGGGACCAAGTTCAATTTACACCTTATTAATAAAGCATATACCATTTACAGACAAGCAGAATATAGCGCAGAATATGAACGCAACATGCTGAGTTGCACGTTAAGCATTTTATATCTCAAAACGTTATGACTTTTTATCTCGTAATTATGACTTAAGTCATAATTTCGACTTTTTATCTCATAATTTCGACTTACTAAGTCATAATTTCGACTTTTTACCTCGTAATTATGACTTTTAAAGTCATAATTTCAACTTAGTAAGTCATAATGTCATCATTTTGACTTTTTAAGGAATGAATTTTTTTCTTACGTGGCGGAAATGGGCTTCCATACATATTGTATGATACATAAGGAATTGCCACTTTACTTATATATTTACTTATATATCGTGATGACATTTTATATTAAACAATGCACTTTATAATATACAGATGTACATGAATAATAAATAAATAAATAAATATTGAGAAATTACTTGAGCTTTTTAATAAAGCTGTTAAATGTAAAAGTTTAGTGCAGTTTTTGTCTTCATTGCTATATATTTTTCATATTTATCAGCATGGTCCATGCATATATTGCAGTATATTGAAAAAATATAAGCACTGGTTTCCCAAATATGCAAATGATTATTTGAATACTGTGTATATATTATATATGTATTATTTTATATTTTTATGTATTACAACCAGTCAAATTTGAATTTCTACAAAAAATTGTGATTGTTTTCAAACAGGTTTCCTAAATACTCTCCCTGTCTGCCATTGGTCGACAAATAAGTTAATTCTGCTTTAAACTCACACCATTGGTTAAGCTGTTGCTATGTCAGGCTGGTTAAGATTCTTCAACAAACAAAGCAATGTTTTGAATGCAACACAGAATCACAAAGTGTATACTTTCCAGAGAAATTAACCTACGAATGACTTACTTATAGCTGTCTCTGCTTATTAAACTAAGATAGGAAAGAATATTTTAACATCAAGAAAAAAAAAATCACACATTTCACCTTTAAAAGCAAACAGTACAAACAGGAGATTAAGGGAAAGCCCCAGTTCCTCATGGGAACTCCCTGGCCGAGAAACTCCACATTCTGGCTTTCAGAAAACAAGCCATTCCAAAAGTGTATCACACTTCCTTATAAGGAGACAGGCCAGACTTGACTGTGGGCATTTCATCTGAAAAATCATGACCACAGAAGCAAAAACAATGATGAATTATATCATTTTTGGTAAGAGAATATTTTTACAGTTGAAACCACACAGACATTTGAATTGACATTTGAGGACTTCTGAAGTCGCCAAATTATTATATTAGTCACTAGTGTGACTGTGCAGTTTTATAAGGGTCAAGCCAATTTAAAGTCTGCTGCAACCACTGTGAGAACGTGTTCAAACTGGAATCCATACGACTCCAGAGGAAAATGTGTCCTCAAGCCAGCTGACTCTGCAAAACATATCCTCTGCTGGTTATTTTGAATTCTTCTCTATTTCTACTCTTTGTTTTATTGTATGTTGCATGTTGTTTAAGTGTCTGAATATATCAATAGACTAATACAATAATGCATTTCTCATTATATCACATCCTATGATCTAAAATATGATCTAAAAAAAAAAAAAAACATTTCATGAATGTATCTTGCTGGCAAGAACCCAAATGTAACTACGTTTTCATAATTCTGTCAGGGGAAAGTCTGGTATGTTAAAACTTGTTCATTTTGCCCAGAGTCCATCTGTGAAGTATGGACCTCAGCTTAATTTTCAGAGCTAATTAAATTTACAAAGAGTGTGTGTTTTATTACACCAGAGCCTGTGTGTGTGTGTGTGTGTGTGTGTGTTGGAAGGGACAGTTCTTGCCTTGCCCTTGGCCTGCATAGAAGGAAGTGGCAGAAATCTAATCTGCCTAAACCTAGTGCAAAACTCACTGAAGCTTCTCGTGCTAATTGCGTTGAATTAAACAAGCGTCAAACATGTCTGCCTGTTTCCTAAAGCTGTGACAGTTGTGTTCATCCTAGCATGGGCTTGTTATGGTGTTTGGTGGCTGTTTCAACAGAGTGTTTATGTTGCTTTGTGTGCTTGTAGGAAGTTGATTACATAGGATTTTTTCAGTGTTTTTCTTAAACAATTTGTCATTTGCAGTTCTTCGTTTTCTGGTCTGCACAAATAAAGCATCGTGCATTAATATTTTTCTCTATTCTGTCTATTTTCTTGTCTCTTTCACACTTGTCTTGCATATCAGTGGACAACAAAAATTCACAAATCGGTCAGTCATTAAAACCACAACTGCTCTTGTGTGTCTAAGGCTCAAACGCCATCTGGTGCAGGTTAGCCAGGAGAAACTAAGACGTTGAGCAGACAGATGCGCGATGGCCCAGTCAAAGCAAACACAAATGTGGGACGGCAGGTTTTGCAGGGCAAAGTTCTACTTCATCCATCAAACCGCGGCTTCCTCCCACCATCCCATCCCACAACACCTGGTTGCTCCGAAAGCTCCTCTAAAATTCCATTAACCACAGGTATAATTAATTAGCATTTTCATGAAAATTGTATTACTGCCAGCTGAGAGATCTATAGGCTCCTCGAAGACCTCACATTCATCACCCAGTTTACCTAGAGGAATTAGCTGGAGTTATTT